ATTTAAGTACAATATAAATTCAGATGTTTTTTACATGTATTTAAATAACTTTTGCGACTCTGCGAGAATATGTCCAAATATTTACACAAATTGTTATGACCTCTGCACATGCGGAGAATGGGATCATTATATGATACATTGTTCGCAGTGCATGGTAGAGAAAAGGTGTTTTGTGTACGTTTACTACCGATCTTGAACGAGATGTGGCCTAAGAGCTCACCTGAGTCCACCCATGAGTTGATTATTTTAAAAAGAGTGGAATAATCAAGAATTACACGTCTGGACTGAAGAGAATCTACGTTAAAATATTTGAGTCTTGCCTCATACGTGTCCAATCTCTTGCGCATTCCGATCTGCGTGGTCAAGTTGCGGAGAAACCGTCTTTGGACATTTTCAATTGCATCAATGTGGCAATTATAATAGGGTGACCATATAACCGAACAATACTCTAGATGGCTGCGGACCAAGGAAGAATATAGGGTTACCATACTAGTTGAATTTTTGAATGGTTCTGACACTCTATTAACGAAACCCAGCATTCTGTTTGCTTTGGCGACTATGCGTTCGTAATGTATTTATGATGTTAGTAAATAGTCCAGGGAAGTTGTTAGTATTTTAAAAACAACCTTGTAGATTGTGATTGCTTCCGCTCGGGCAGCCCCGATGCGAAACGCACGACGACTTTTTCGCTTTTTTATATTTTATGTTATTTTAACTTATTGGAAGACCAACAGCGAACGGTGCTTTTACAGAGAAAAAACTGAAATAATAATGGAGAACCAATTATAGGTCCTCATCGATAGACACACATTAACTTCATTAATGACCATTAAGTTATAACTATATAACTAGTAATTGTACTATATAGGTATAGTGCATTCTCAATTCGACTGTATGTATTTTTTTTGTATGTATGTTACGCGATAACTCCGGTATTTGTGAACCGATTTTCATGATTATTTTTTTGGTGGAAAGAGTGGTTCACCTCCACAGTGGTTCCTTTTAATTTTGAAGAAAATCATCCACCTCTAAGGGTGGCTGTTCACGCATGAACATTCATTTTTATAAAAAGCGCCTACATTTTACTTAAGGAGCAATTACTTTGATTGTTGGTTTTGCTATTCTCCAATTTAAGACGTTTTTCTCTCTCAATATACTTTGAGTAGTGAGAACCGATTTTTATTATCTCCTGTGTCAAGTCCTGTGTAATGGCGAACTAAACAACCCCATATTTCAATGAAACTTGGCATATAGATGTGATTCCACGTAATTTTGAGGTTGGTTTTTTTAGTACTTTGTACTGAGATTATCATGCTTTGTAGGCCTTGGCTGGGAAGAAGTCGCGTGGTCCATAAATGACAAACTTTCCGTGTTCGTTTTTTGAAAGTAATGCAAATATTTCTGGCGATTTTTCTGGCGGCTTAAAGTAATTCCATAGTGTGGTCATTAATGAATAACTTTTCACACTCACAGTTATTAGTGGTGGGTAAGATTACACATTTCATTGTACTGATGATTTATTTACAGGCAGGAATATGAAACTTGTATATCTGATGTGAAAAATTTCTTGATACGCAACAACGTGGATCCGATGCTGAGGCACCGCTTTGTGAACTACCTGCAGCTGTGCTGGCACACAGACAGGGTAAAAACGCTTCCGATTTTTATTAACCGTTTTGTCCAAAACGTCAAGTGAAATGACTCTAAGTAAAAAATAGTCATTAACAAATTACTAAATTAATTACTACCGCATAACAATGCGGGGCTGCAAAGTTGTTTAGCGAGGGTTTCAAGTCACGACAAACAAACAACTTTGCTGCCGAGCGAAACACACAACTTTTCACCTCACTATAGCGAGGAAAATGTTAAAAATTTACCATTGTCAATTTAATGTCAACAATAATAAGAATAAAATATACCAACAGATTTATATTACATAAATAATGTGGAGTGAAGGAGGCTACACCGACAAGAGCATGGCTCTTAAATAAAATGAATGAATGAAATAATGTACGACAAATCTCGTAGTCGAACACATCATTATGTTCTTTTTTGTCATCGAAAAAAAAAACTTGCATGCACCACAGTCCATCGTCAAGTTCGAATTCCAAAATCCTTTTCCACGCTAGCGTGGAAAAAACGTTTTTGCGCACAGATTTCTAATGAGAAAGAAAGCCTTTCCGAACTAGTGAGGTGGAAATGTCTTTTGCCACTCTAGATAAGTACTATTTTTAATGTTAAGTAGGAGGCAAACGAGCAGATGAGTTATTGAGCTGTGTTGGGAGGTTCGTCGTCACTCATGGACATTACACCACTAGCGGAGTTGTCTTGTTTTCTTGCCAGCCTTTATGAGTCTTGTTTACTCGCTTTTTGAAGGACCCCTTAGTAGCAGTATAGTTCCTTGTGAAAGAGTCCATCTTCTCCTCTTCTTCATCTTCCATGGAAGTACTGATCACCACCCGTATATGATTTGATTATGAGCCACGAAAGTTGCGTTGAAAATATTGTATCCAGTAGAGGTGGTCTCGTACACCACCAAGAAGTAAGCTGCTAAATAAAAATTCCACTACCTTCCGGTTATATTGAGTTGAACTGTAAGTAAAACAACAATAATTACTAACTATAGTCCATTTTTGATTACAGATATCTAATAGGTTTATCTGCTAGGTTTTGATGAAAGTTAAATTTTATTACACATGATCAAGTTCACAAGACTCGGTCAGAACTTCAGACGATCATCAAGGTTCTATTCTATTATACTCAATTCATGGCAATATTATTTTTCTGTCACTGTTTAGAAGGGTAAAGGTGTTGGTGAAATTACGGGCACACTGGACTTGTCAGTTTATTTCACGGACACAGTGGCAGTGCCCCTCAGATTTTTGCGATTTAAAGCTTTGAGTGATACTGCAACTGTTATAGACAGGCGTGTCTCCTACCACCAGGCGCACGACTTTTTCATTCTGTCACTTGGTATCATAAAAGAATCTATTTCATAACGCAAAAGAAATACTACAGGTGAGAGCCCATTTTACATCTTGCCGGTACAAGGAGGGAATGTATGTGGTGCATGCGTGGCCTTTGTATGCCAGGCATCAAATCGTAAATATCTTAAGCTGAACATATTACACCTGTGTCGGTCGATCATTTTTGATAACCCGGGTCGATCATGACCCATGCGTAATGTGATCGGGTTAAATGATTCGATCATATGTTCGATCTTTTAACGGGTCACCCGTCGCTTACGGTACTTCCATATGGCATTTAAAAGCATCATATTATAATGGGTAATGTGTATAATGTATCATTGATAAACTACACGACACTAAAGTTTCTTTCTAGGAATAGTAACACCTACAAAACAAAAGTACATAACGAAAAACTTATGAGCATTCAAAATCACTAATTTATTATTCATTAATATTAGCTAGTGCACTCATAAATAAACACATCGAAAAACAGATTAAATTTACAAAATTATCATGTAATGGACACTACGCTACGGAGCAATTAGGATGAGCGATTGATAGACTCTTTGACCCGTTAACCCGTTGAATCGTTGATCGATTGTTTGACTTTTTGGTTCGATCGAACAAAGGTTCTATCGAACGAATGCTCTATCGAACAAAATGTTCGACCCAAACCAAGAGTGAAAAGGCGAACCGTGTCGTGAGTGGGGACTTCACCCGAGAGTGAACGAGACAACAATAATATTGTGAATTGTTGAATAATCTCTAAAATTATAGTGATAAAGTTTGATATTGCGCGCATGACCCATGAAACTCCAAAATGATCGGGTTATTTAGAAGCTAGTAACCCGGAATCATTTTGATTCGATCGATCACGATCGACACACGTCTAGATCATATAAAAAAAGAAAAAGAAATAGATTAGTTGGTTCTTGTACGAGTTTGCTGATTGTTTCTTCAGATACACACCATATGGCAATAAAGATTTGCAACAAAATACCACTCCCCATAAAAAATATTGAAAAGGAACATATTTTTGTCAACAAATTGAAAGAATTTTTACTGTCGAACACTTTTTGTAATTTGCAGGAGTTCTTCGATTATAATAAATGTACATGGTGAATTAAGCTAAACTGCTGTGCCCTCACAGGGTTTATGTTAGACTATGTTATGTAATAGTGTTAAGATCTTACTGTACAATACAATGTAATGTAATAAATAAATAAATGTAAATAAATAAAAATTTATTAACTTTTCCATGTTAATTATTGTGATGAATTTGTGTAATTTGTTTTAATATATTTTATAATTGTAACAATTAATGACATGGCTTCTGTACGAGATTAATAATAAAATTAGATAAGTTATTATCATTGTAGTGCCCTAAAAGGGTTCGTGTGCTGGAATATTATTATGTAACACCTTTGTTAACCCACATGAAACAATGAATGAATAAATGACATATCACTTTCTGGAACACAGAATTAGTGGCGACAGTGACGTGTGGTTATAAAGAATTTAAGGCAAGCCACCAGAGGAGAAGCTGGAAAAACTGTTTTACTAAGTCGAATGGCTTAGGTATTTATTATTACATAACGGTCTTACGAAAAATATGCTATAATACTTAAGGATATTCTGTAAAGAATGTTCTAATTCGTTACATGATACAATGTTAAAATAAAAGTATAAAACGAATTATTTTATAATAAAACATCTAACTTTGTACAATTTTTATATGAAGATATTTATCTTTAAATACTATAGAGAATCTGCTAAACTTTTGGTTTTCAACTGAAGCCTTATAGTTATTAAATTCACATTTACAAGCGTCAACGTCGAGTCTGTGTAAAATTTTCTCCACCTGTTCTTATTTTATTCATATTATTTTTAAGCGCGCAGATTGCGGGACGCGAATATCTCGCCTTAAGTGGGTGTGTCCAGGATTTTGGAAAGAAGTCGAATCATCAGTGTAGACCTAGCAATTTAAGTGTAATCTGTTGTTGCAGGCGTACTCGATCACCCACAAGAATCAGTCGGTGCTGTACGACTTGCCTCGACACGTCTCTGGCGAACTGTTGGCTATGCAGCGCAGTAAATACATCCTTAGCATACCTTTCATGAAGGTATCTTTATCAATATGTATACTTCAGATACCAAACGAGAAGAACATTCTTGCACTTGCGTCACAGTACATTTACGAAAGTGTTATTTAAGATGATTGAAATAAATATTGTAAATGTCAAATGCACATTTAAAAAAAAGCAACCCCTAGAGTTTCTTGCTCATTCTTCTCAGGGGGCTCTGCCTTACGAATAAGCAGTAAAATGAATAAGATAATTTCTAGTGTAATTTGCTTACCTATGACATAAAGATGATTTGAATTTTTGAAAGGCTTTTTTTACTGTTCATGTACATACAGGTTGATTTGGTTAACTTTTTTGATTAACAATTTACGTTTGTGATACAGTATGTTCACGCAAAAGACTTAATGGACGTGTCGTCTGGTGCGCGGCTGTTCCATACCTCGCCCAACGAGATCCTCCTTAGCACCGGTGACATCAGCAACGAAATGTACATCATCAAGCAGGGAATGTGCGAGGTATGTCGGTCACCACGTGGGAATAGTACAGTTTTGCTGATTGTTTATGGGATGACAGGTAAACGATGTATCTCCAATGGTCTCTTAGATAAATAATTATAACTTTTTATTAAAAAAATTCAAATGGAACCAATACCGAGGTACCCTCTTTCCACCAAAAAAAGAATGTCAATCAATTATTAGACAGTGTTTTCTCAGCCTATTATGAAATTTATAATTAAACCTATGTTTATGAAAAAACGCTAAAACGAATCCAAGAAAACACCTCAAATCGCCTTTTTTACAGTAACATATTATTTTCGAAATTAAAATTGTGATGTCTAGACAGACCTCTTCAATATCTAATGTACAACGTACCTTAAATATATCTTTTTATGTTATTAATCTCAAAAATTACGAAAAAACCGAAATATCTTTTAGGGCGCGTTCCCACTATGTCGTCGCGTTTTATTATTGTTGGACGACTGTCGTGTTCCCATATCACGACTATCTGTCGTGGACGATTTCTTATCGTCTGACGACTGTCGTTCTAGCTGTTCCCACTGTGATGACAGTTTGTCGTTGTAACGATAAAAATCGTGAACGACAGTTAATCGTGTCGTGCTATATGTGAACAACTTCATTTAAATATACAAGCCACGACACTGTGAACTGCACGACAATCTGTCGTCACGACATAGTGGGAACGCGCTCTTACGCAGCTTTTTCTCAAAATGCTGTTTGAGATACATCGAGTATATAATCAAAAATAGAGATGAAGTAAGGCCCGTCCATACTTGGGAACTCATCGGACAAATGGGCCTTGTGTCACTTTTAAATGTAAACTCTCGTTTGCGCTGAAATCACAAATTAGAAAACTGAAATAGTACAGCGCCTACAACTGACCCGTGTGTGCGTCTCCGCATATTCCAAAAACATTTTGTGTTTATTGTAATAAAATAATAGCTAGGGGGTGCTGTTCCATTCAGTGATGGTGGCAAAACAGCAAACATCTAATTACTAAACACACGGAATCACATTTTATCGGTAATGAAATATTAAATATGTAATTTTGCAATTTTCGTTACCGTAATGATTTGGCAGAATAGTTTTCAAACAAATTAAGTGACATTACGTGTCTATTTCTGGTTATATACTCGATGTTGTGATATAACAGTGTTTTGGTTAAACACGGTAGTGCCACCGTAATTACAGGGTCAGGAATTAAAGTAATTGACTCATTGACTTATTTTGCAGGTTATAAACCCCATCACTAAGAACGTTGTCGCTATTATTTCGACGAAGCAACATTTCGGTATATTGGAATGTATGTTGCGTAAGTATTTTCAAAGTCAAGTTGTGCGAAAGACGTATCCATGTTTAAATAAACTTTAATATGTATGCGATATTCTCGCTTTGGCGTTATGCTTAATTTCATTGTATACATTCCGTTTCAGGAATTCCATCTTTTTACACAGTCCGCGCAGTAACACATGTGCAAGTGTTGTCAATATCGAGCAGGTACCTGAACGAAGTTAATAAAGTGCCAAGGATAAAAGATGCCATCAATTATGCTAAACTCCAAGAGGTGCCTGTCTAATCTAATTTGCAAAACCATTGATTTACAAATAAATGGACGACGGGTCTAATACAAAAACCACGAAAAAAATGTCCCAAGTCAACCTATTCGAAATTTAAATTGTAATGTCATCGCAGTATCGCGCTGTCAGTCGAACAAATGAAGACTAAAGCGGAGTGTCGCGCTCTGTATACGATTTTAGCGCCTTACAAGTGCGGACACTTTTTAGCGCGGACCCGACGTCCATATAATTGTAAGTCAATGTGCAAAACATTTTGGTCAGGATTCAGCAGCTTGCTTTTGATTGTCTCACCCGATCGGGAACTGCGTCTTTTCCGAGTCGAGGCGCGTAATTGCGATTCACAACTGGCCGATCGGAAACTTTGACATTTCTAATCGGAACAATACTTGATTTAACTCACAAATTAGAAAGATACAGTAGGAACCAGGTTCATCTTCTCTGTCAGAAACCCATCTGATTTCGAGACTACCCGATCGGTTCGATTCCAATTTGAATCAAAATCAGGACGCAGAACTCTAAAATATTTACGAATTTTAACCGAATTGTATATCGTTCTCGAATCGAAAGATGCTTCCCGAGCTATTCAGAACATTCAGAGTATCCAACAGCGTTAGTCGGTAAAATAGATTAGAAGAAAAATGAAAATTCTTTTATATAAATTTTTAAGACTTTAAATCATTGACTTACATATGGACGTCGGGTCCGCGCTAAAAAGTGTCCGAACTTATAGGGCGTTAAAATCGTATACAGAGCGTCATTCACGCTCTAGTCTCCGTTTGTTCGACTGACAGCGAAGCAAGCAAAATTAGACAGTACTGCGATGACATTACAATTTAAATTCAACGTTTAGAATTGTCATATTCTTTGACATATCACTACGTTTAAATAGGTTGACTTGGGACATTTTTTTCGTGGTTTTTGTATTAAACCCGTCGTCCATTTATTTGTAAGTCAATGCTTTAAATGCCTAAAATATAGGAATTCACTAGTCTTGCATTAAAATAAATTAATAAAAATGGAATAAAATTCAGACTTATTTAAAATAATAAGAGATTTCCATATTACATTCTTTCTTTGTAAACAATAGGACGTTCGGTAACTTTCATCGATAAGTGTGCTCTGAATAACGTTTGTAGCCTTTGCCGGTCGAGAATAAAGTAATCTTACGGGTGTTACGTCATTTCGGTTCGGTTTCGAATACGACAGTTTGACGTCCGATTCGGATGTTGTGAATAAAAATGAAAAGAAATCGGTCGACAACTCAGTTATCGTGAGGTTCTGAATCGACACCTAGTTGCGGTTCAATAGCTACGAACATATTAAGTTCTTAGGTTTTCACGATAGTTACACATAGGAAATGAAACTATATTTCCGGATTTAAATCGCGTATATTTGTTTGTTCACACAAACCAACGTTCCGGGCCCTTTACAGGTCCCATAGTCACGGTTGACTGTCAAACGTTGGCTTGTTTGAAAAAACCCATTGACTTACAATTATATGGACGTCGGGTCCGCGCTAAAAAGTGTCCGAACTTATAGGGCGTTAAAATCGTATACAGAGCGTCATTCACGCTTTAGTCTTCGTTAGTTCGACTGACAGCGAAGCAAGCAAAATTAGACAGTACTGCGATGACATTACAATATAAATTTAACGTTTTAGCTTTTTCATATTCCTTTGCATGTCACTACGTTTAAATAGGTTGACTTGGGACATTTTTTTCGTGGTTTTTGTATTAGACCCGTCGTCCATTTATTTGTAAGTCAATGAAAAAACCACAGAAAAAAGAAATACGTGGTCTGTGGAAAAAACAAATATACAGATTTAAATCTGGAAAAATACTTTCATTTCCTATACGAACATATTGTTTGATTTAAAGCGCCTGCCTTTGCCTTTTATCATCCTTATCACCGTCAATTTATCATACGTCCCAGTGTTGGGCACGGGTCTCCACATTGTTGTGTGAGTTAGAGATTTCACGTTTTCAATATTTGCCATTGATTCTTCATTAAATTGTTGGACTAAATATATCGTTACTGATATATCTTGCTTTTTCCTAATACCGTAACAAACAGGTGTGCTGCGAGTAAAAGTTATTCTTTACTCAGGAGTACGTCCGACTTCAAGAGCCTCGAGAGCCTTTCGTCAAGTACGAACCATTACCAATGGCACCAAGTCGAAGTCTTTTCCCATTGCCCAGGAAGTATGAAGTAGACGTGAATTTTCTTGTACCCTTCCAACGATTGGGTTACCTTTCAGTGTTCAGGCAAGTTGAAGATTATGAATTTGTTTGGTGATGTTGGTGATTCCAAGCTTCTGGTGCTAACATAGTGCTGTGTTTGGCAGGTATGTGTTCCCGAGATGGACAATTCGCCCCGATGGACGCTACATGCAGCGCTATGAATGGTTCCGCGCTGTGTGCGCATTGCTTACCTCATTTATATTCCCCAGCTATACTTACATGTGTCTTCAGTTCCCGAGGCTGGTGTACTTTTACTACTTTTTGGATTATTCTGCTTACTATGACATGCAAGTATTTCTGTACCGATATTAAATAATACACCATTGTGGTGACAGTCAAGCCTTTAACACTATTATATAAATACAATAGCATTCAACGAATGTTGGTGGGGTACTACGACGACCAGGGTATCTTGGTATACCACCCGGCCAGGACGGCGGCGCACTACCTTAAGGGCGGCTTTGCACTTGATGTCTTAGGTGCTTTGCCGATGGAAGTTTTAGATAAAGGACGCACCAGATTTATTGGTAAGTTAGAGAATCCCTCTAACTAACCCCCCCCCCC